CAGATCACGGGGCTCAGCAGGGAGAAGCAGCCACAGAGGGGTTCAGCAGCACGGGAAGGGGCTCTGCTGCCTGTGACCCGGTTGTGCCTCCCTCCAAGGGGACCCAGCCCAGCCCTGGCTCTGTGGGCAGGGGCAGAGACAGCAGGAGCCCTGTGCTGGCCTGGGACAGCGTGGCCTGGCCCTGCTCTGTGTCAGCCCACTGTGTCAGTCCCCATGCACGCAGCCACACCAGCACAGCACCCAGCACTGCCTGCTGCTAGAAACACGGATTTTAGAGACACACACCTCTCCTGTGTGCCTCCCCATCAGCTGGCCTGAGAGGCTGCTGGAGCTCCAGGCAGTGACAGGGGCTGAGGCCACCCCTGGGGCAGGGACAAGGGTGCAGCCAGCGCGTGTGGCCTCCAGAGCAGCAGCCAGACACAGCCCAGAGCCACCGCAAAGCCACCAGGGCACAAATCCCTGCTCTGGGCTCTGGTGACACTGCAGCTGGCACACGCATCACACCACGGAGCCCTGCTGCCTTCAGGAAACACAGCACAAACCTCTACATATCAGTGGTAACACGTCTAGCTATTAACAACAAAAATATTTTGATTGTGGAAGAAATTTCCACCTGGAAATCTTTTTACTTCTGAAAGCAACTTTGCTTGAGATTGAACCCAGTGATTCCACAGCTTGGGTACCCAACAAGCAAAGGGAAGTGTGACTCTATACAGAGCACTTATCTGGCCTAGAAAAATGAAAAATTTATGGTAGTCATTTTTGGTATGACTACCAAATGGTAGGAAAAATGGTAGGAAAAAAAATAAGTAGGTAGGAAAAAAATATGGCAGGAAAAAAATAAGTTGTTGCTACAAATCACAAAACTCCAGAACAAAAACATACTGTAGAATGCAAAGGTCACATTCAAAAGCAGCTGTCAGGGAAAAGAAGCAAAGCACAACTCATTGTATTTTGTTGTAAGCTTACACCTTTTCACCATTTAGAAACAAACTGAGGGATTTGAATAACAGAACACAGAGAAAAGAAATACAAATGTGCTCAGATTTTTTTGTAGTTTCTGAAGTGCCCCACAGTTAAGGTAAATTTAAGATCAAGGTCTAGAGGAAGCCATTTCAAACACTGATAGTTCACAAAAGGCATTTCCTTTTTGACAGAGATAAAAATTAAGTCAAATTTTTTGGAGACTGCTATTTCCATTCTGACTCCATAAGCTGCAGTTACTGCCACTAAACAGAAGACTCCTTCCTATATTATTTCCTAGGGAAAAGGCAAAAATTAAATGCTTTCAAATTAATTTTCCTTTCCATTTTAGGCATATTGTTATGTTTTCATTCACTACATGTTCAAACACGCTTCTTTTTTTCTCCCTTTCATTTTACATGTGTTCTTTGGAGTCAGAAGCAGCCACACAGCTACACCAACTTGCCAAGCCCAGAGTGCAATCATACTCACACCCAGTCTCTGAGAAAGGGGCCAGGCAGGCAAAGGACATAACAGAGAGAAGATAAACTGCTTTTTGTACCCCTTAGTGGCCGGACATCAATGCTGCAGCTCTGAAAGCTGTCTTTCCCAAAAAAAAAAAAAAAAAAAAAAAAAAAAAAAAAAAAGAAAAAAAAAGAAAAAAAAAGAAAAAAAGAAAAAAAAAGAAAAAAAAAGAGAGAGAGATTAGGATTGCAGCCATTCATGGAAGAAGAAATATGTTAAAATGAAGGTTTTAATGAAGAAATGGATGAAAGACTTCCAACTACAGGAGATTAACGTTCTTATCATATAAACTCTTACTGCAAAGCAGAGAGAAGGGTGGGAGGGGAGAACACTCCTCTAAAGACATGGAAACTCTGATACTGGAAATGAATTCTCTGCAATAGTGCACAGCACAGTTTGTAATGGTTCCTTTTGCACCCTTTATTATGGACTCCTAGACTTTAAATAAAATAAAGAGTGTAGATTATACCACAGGCCTAGATTTGCTGATTTAGCATTTTTTTAAACACCCTGGAAGAAGGTAGGACCCTGTAAGCACAGCAGCCAGCAGCATCATCAGGCAGTTTCTGACAGTCACATGAGGAAAACCACCCACAGGTGGGGACACACAGGTACCTGGTCCTGCCTTTTGGCAGGGAAAACAGGAATTTTACAGAAATGCAGGCAAAAATAGGCTGCGGCTTAGTGTGGTATTAGACAAGCAAAACCAAAACCTGACAGGCACCTAAGACCATGGGGAAGGAAGCAGGGAAGAGGGGAGGGAAGACTCCCATCTGCGCATGGAACACTCACGGGCCGGCCACAAACCCATAGATGACAGGTGAGGAGCAGCAGGTAAACCTTGATCTGCCACCAGTACCCAGGGCTCATGCCCCACAGCCAAGCTCCATCTCCTTCCTTCACCACTGATGCTGGCACTGGAGCTGGGGAGCTGCGGAGGGGACAGGCTCTCTGAGCGCTAGAGGCACCAGGACAGCATCGCTTGTTTACAGGGAATATTGAAATAAGAGGGTTGTTAGACAAGAGCAGGTTGGGCGAGTGAGCAGAACAAGGAGATGTGCTCCATTCCCTCCCTTCAGGAGCTGCTCCGACGCAGTGGAAGCCCAGCAGCTCTGCTCAGGGACTCGGATGTCAAGACAGGCTCATCCAATGAGTGACACAACGGGCTGCTCTCACTGCCAGAGGACTGCTCACATTCCAGTTCCCTTTTCCACAGGAAGCAAACGGGACTCTGAACACCACAGCGCTGTCACAGGAGGTCAGTCCAATGGCCACTCACAGACAGCTCCAGGGGAGAAGGCAAAGCCTCCTGAGCTCTTACACACTAGGGTCATACCTACTGATACGCCACAGGCCCCAAAGTTGTAATTTATATACAGTGTTGTCACCAAAACACCTCTCTCATTCCCTAGAAACCCTGAAAACACAACTCTGCATGTCCCAAAATATTTTAAATGAAGGAGCAGAGAATATCTCTGAGAGGGTAATTTGCCAATACACATATTTTTAAAATACATTTCTTTGAACTGAAAATTTTTATACTCATGTTTCAGCAGACTCATTTATAGAATTGTAAAATCCCAGAATGGTTTTGGCTCCTTGAAGATCACCTTGCTCCAAACCCCTGCCATGGGCAAGGACACTTTCTGTTAGACAAGTTACATATTATTGTCCATAGGATGAGAGACACAAGCCCAGCAAACAAATAACAGTTATTGTACACTAGGAACATTCATGGCTTCTCTTCCCTACAACTATTTTGATGCTGTTTTGGTTTTTCATTGAACACATATACCTACAACACAGTTTATCCTAAGTCTATGTCTTTGCATGCATATCAAGGTGTGTGTTAGAAAAGGAGCAGCTAAACCAAACTTTTGTGCACCAGAGTCACTTGAATTCCATCCACCAGAATCTGGAAGAGTTTGGAGAAGGTTCTGGCCCACTGTTGAGAACAGAACCAGAGCAGGAGAAGAGCAGGTGTATTTATGACTCGTATGACTGCCTTTGACTGCCCATTAAAACTGTTCATATTCTCTCCACTCTACAAAACAATTGTAGTTCTGACCAGTGTGACCCATTCACACAGTGCAGGGAAATTCTAGCCCTGCTATCTGCTCTGTGTGTGGCTTGCTTATTGCCAACATTCACTATGAACCAGAAACATGACAATGTTTGTCACAAAAACATGGCATAACTTAGCAAAAACTGCCCCCGGTACCAAACATCCATTTGATTTTTAACAGCCCCCTCAGCCAGCACTGGCACACCTGAAAGACAATTCTTAGAAACTTTCAAAAGATTTGTAAGAAGAAAAAAACTACATGAATTCCAAACATGGTGTGGTTATTAGGGCCTCTGATGCAGTGACAGAGTGCTTCATGTACAAGTCTGTGCAGCCACAAACTGCGCTAAGCTATGCAAAAACACACATAACTCCAGCAGAAGGGTATCAAACATTTATGGCCCTGAAATACGTGTTTCATCAAAGAAGGCAAAGCCTATTCCTCACTCTTTCCTCCCAAATAGTGCAGCAGCAGACCAGCAGCACTGCTTATAGACACTCTGACAAAAGACCCCACTGAAGTCAGCCTGCAGACCAGGGTCACAGAATGCTCCATGCCATGCAAAACCTCCTCACTCACATGCTCACCAAATAAAGTTTGGCAAACATAGTTTTTTAACTTCTTTCAAAGAACAGTCTATTTCACTTCATTTATAAACTTCTTTGTTTCTTCTCCAGCCTTTGTCTGGGTCATGATTTCCCTCAACCTGGCAGGGGGGATGCTGTTCCCAGTAATGGCCTTTGTGCAGTGAGCAAGAGGAAATTGTGGCTGATCACCCAGCAGAGTTTGCAGCTGCTGGTGACAGTGAGTGTTACACACCATGGTTATTACAGACACCTGCTCAAACTCTGTGGCACTGACCACCACCTTCAGGGCCTTCTTTGCTGTAATGGGGAGGAGCCTTTATCAAAACACCACAGTGTCAGACTTCAGGGGCTGGGGAGAAATCTCTCTGGGTTCAGGGCAGAATCCACAAGAGAAGAGTCAGACAACTTCAGATGAACAGCCCAAACTGCAAAGAGTGCTGAGGGGGCAGTCACCTGCTGAATTCAGGCAGGGGAAATGCTCAGGTCATCCCTCTGCCCCTTGCCTCCTTCCTGTTACAGCTCACCCCTGTCCTGAGCTGAAAGGTCTCTGCTCTGGCACACAGTAACTTCTTATACACCCTCAGAAGCACAAAATACATGGCAAGGTTGAAAAGCTCACAGTATAAACCACTCTGATATTACTTCTAAATTTCTACCAGGAAAAATGCGGTTTTTCCTTCTGCATGCCATGCTGCTGAAATAAAGGTATTGAAATGGAACAAATAATGACCATTTCATTTACCACAGCTTTGCCATGAACTCATTTGCTTTCTGTTCACCTTTCAATACTGGCATCAGCGTCACTGCAGACAAACTGCTGTCCCCACACAAGAACCAACAAGCCAATAAAAGCACTGACCTTTCGTGGCAGGAGAGGCACAGCCCTCGAGGTTCAGCATGATGTCTCCATCCGTGTCATCAGCACCAGCTCCCAGGAGCATCCAGCTCTCGATGTCCTCGCCGTCAGACATCAGGCTCCCCTCCTCCTCCGAGCTGTTGTCTATCACCAGCACGTCCTGGGGGCCTTCAGGTCCAGCAGAAAGGACTGGGGCAGGCCTCCCACCAGGGCTGCTTCTCTTCCTTGGTGTGCCCACACCAGGTTCAGGGAGGCACGGGGCGCTACATCCAGCAGCTTTGGTGTGATTTGGCGTGGAGGACACCGGGCGGGTGTGTGTTTTACCCGGGACTGAGGAGGAGCATCTTGACTTCTTTGCCTTGCTTTTGTAGATGCTCTCTTCCTCTGGGGTGTCAGACAGGACAATGACCTCGGGCTCATCTGAAAGCTGAGTGCCACCATCAGTGAGCTCAGTGAGGTTCTCATCTTCACCCTGTTTCTCAGCTAGACCTGAACTTTCACCCATGACTTCTCCAGCATCAGCTTCTTCATCCATTTCCAGCGTGCTGACTTCTCCAAGATCCTGGGAATAGTGGATCTGGCTATAGAGATGAAACTCCACCTCACTATCAACACTCTCCTCACTGGATGACTCCTCGAGATAAAGTTCATCTTCGTACACTTCATTGCTCTCAGGATCATCATACCCAGTAAATATTCTGGAAAGTGAAGAGTCTGAGTCTACAAAAAATCAAATGGTTAAATCAGAATGGTCATATGTCCAAAATAAGCCTTCGAGTGATACCTTTGGTGTTGAAATTGCTCAGCTGAGTTGCAGAGCTCTGCACACAGACCATCAAACTGAGCAGATTTAACAGCCACCTGTGCCCCAATGTGGAACAGCAAAAGCTACTTAAGGACGCATTTGCATCAACCATAACTACTACTCCAGCCCAACTGCTTTGGCCTCAGAAAGGGGCAATTACTGAGGTCTCCCCTCCCACACCAGGGAGGTCATCAGGCCGCTCACGGACCACACCCAGAGTGCTGGGAACTGCTCGGGCTCTCCAGACTGGAGTGAGTGCAACGAGGAGCCATAAAACCATTAAGGGATTGGAACACGTGTCCTAGAAGGTCAAGCTGGGGCTGCTACTGCACAGGGAGGGGAAGCTCAGAAGGATTTATCCTGCTCACAAACACCAGGGGCACGGGGAATAAACAAGACAGAACCACCACAGTACTGCCCAGCAAGAACTTGAAAGGGAATGGCCACAAAATAACAAATTACAGGGAATTTCACTTAAATGTAACTCTGTTGCCCAGAAAGGCTCCGGAGCCTTCATTCTTGAGGACCTTCAAACCTCAGCTAGGCACAGCCGTGAGCAAAAGGCTCCAGGTCACTCTGCTTTAAATCAGGGCTGAATCTGCCAGAGGCTCCTTCCCACCTCAGCTGTCCCGTGATGCCAGCCCAAGGGCGAGTGTGCTCACAGCTCACAGCCTGCTCCCTTGCAAGACTGGTAATACAGGGACGTTCCAAAGCCACCCTGCCTCCCTGAGAGACTGCCTCACTCTGAGGTCACGATCACACCAAGCAAGAGTACAGGACATGGGACACGTCCTTGTATTTCTACATTAGTTACTCCCACGGAATTCATACAGCTTTTTCTAGACATGAGAACTGCCAGATGAAGTTCAGCTTTCTGGCTTGTGAAGAAGAGTTGCATGGTACTGTTTAAATCCACTTAGTTGCACACACATAGGAAAACTCAGATTTGTGAGCTTTGTACAGATGTAACTTGTGTGATGATGGTATTTAAAGAATCCAAAGGTTCCCATTAAGAAGGCTCTCTACTCTTACTCAGGTTCCTAAGTAAACACAACAACTAATATACTAAATATATGAAAGTACAAGGTGGTAACTAGAGACAACAAACCTACTTTACACCACTACCTAGCTTTAGATGCTGCAGAAAGGAAGAAGTACAATGGCACCTGAATGGCTGTAGTTAGAAAAACATCTAACAGACCAAATGAAGGCCCCAAACTTCAACATTTTTGTCAACTTCACACAGGGTCCCTGTTTCAAACAGGTTGGAGCCTGTTCCTATCCACACAGCAAGACCAGAGCTCCAATCAAGTACATGCCCAATATTAACATGTGCTTATGAGGTGTGAGAAGAGGCCTTCAGCAATGTAGGAAAGTAACAAATCCTCCTGAAGAGACTGTGTTTTTAGTGAGCTCCAAAACAGAATCCAAGTACTCCTTCCTCCCCTTCTGTCCCCAGTGGATAAAGTCACACACGGTGAGCAGTGACCACTGCTAAAAACTTGCAGCTGCACAGCCCTGGTGTCTCCCAGGCATCCAGAGAGCTGACTCATGGGCACTTCCCAGCACAAACAGGCAGCGAGCACTGCACTCACATTGGTCCATCCTGCTCAGCAGGTCAAAGCTGCTCCTGCTCTCAGCTCCACACGTGACTGGGGCAACGAAGGGCTCTTCCTCTTGCTCAGCATGTACACCTGGGAAACAAGAAACACCCCACATCAGCACCACCACAGAACCTGCTGCCCACCATCCTCACGCTCAGGCCACAGCCATGCCCTTCCTCTTCAGGAAAGGCAAACAGCCATCCCACAGCAAAGCAGACACACACAGCCTCAAGGACAGGGGAGAGAAGCTCAGCAAAGTCCTGCTGTTTTCCAGACTGGCAAGCTGAAGCAGTCTCTCACTGAGTTCATACAGGTAACTCAGAGAAGGATCTGACTGCAACTTCACCTTTCCTTCTGCCAGTGAAAAGTTCACACTATGGGCAAACATTCCTTTCCACTGAACCACAGCAGGGTTTTGGCTGGAAAGGACCCCAGGGTCCCTGTTCTCTCAGCTGTGCTCACCTCCAAGTGCCACACCTATCTTCACAGAATCACAGAATGATGAGGTTGGAAGAGACCTCTAAGATCATCAAGTCTAATCTGTGCCCTAACACCTCAACCAGACTGTAGCACCAAGTGCCATGTCCAGTCTTTTTTTAAACACATCCAGAGATGGTGATTCTACCACCTCCCTGGGAAGAGCATTCCAGTACTTTATTTATTTCTTCCTAATATCCAACCTGTACCTTCCCTGCTGTAGCTGGAGACTGTGTCCTCTGGTTCTGTCAGTGTTGCCCTGTGGAGGAGACCAACCCCACCTGTCTACAACCTCCCTTCAGGAAGGTGTAGAGAGCAATAAGGGCACCTCTGAGCCTCCTCTTCTCCAGGCTCAACAGCCCCAGCTCCTTCAAACGTTCCTCACAGGGCTTGTGTTCCAAGCATCTTGGTTCCAGGTGGACGTTTTCATAAAGACACTCCTCCCACCTGAGTGTGCCGAACACATAAAAAATATTGGCCCTGCAAAGACTACCTGATTTGACAGGCTGCAGGGAGCAACAGCACACTGACACATCCTACTTTGGAACTAGATTACCTTAATTAAAAAAAACAAACCCAAACTTCAAACCCCTGGCAACAGGAGAACCCCATCCCTCTACCAAGAGGAACTGCACTCCTACCTGAACCCAGGGCCCCACCTTCCTCAAAAGCACCCGACTGCCTCATGCAGTAGGGACCATCTTCAAGTTCAACTAAAGGGCTACCAATGTTAAAAGTAAAAAATCACAGACAGCTGAGCTCCTTCTAGCCATTAACAAAACTGCAAATGGCTGCAGTTGGCAACACAGGGATCATTTTCAAACACTGCTTGCCAGCATTTTTCATCTGAGCCACAGAAACCTGACATCCCACATGTGATGCAGCACCAGGAGTGGCAGCAGCACCAGGCAGTCAAAGGGAGGTGCCACTGGCAACTCAAAGCAGGGAGGAAGAGCAAGGCCAACACACAAGAAATAACAAACAAGTTAATTAGAACACTCAGCCAAAATCCCAGAAGGGTTTGGGGTGCTCAGGGCTCACCCATCTGCAGAAGGCACTCTGAAGTAAGAAGCTCAGGGCAGTCCATGCTGTGCCATTCCTGCTCACCTGCCTCGACCCTCCCTGTCAACGTCTCCCTGCCCCTGCTGCCCTCCAGCACTCCTGCTGCTCCTGCTCTCCCAGCTTCCAACAGCTTCCAGAGCTCGCCGTGCTCAGCTTCAAACACTGAGATTTCTTAAAAACTTCTAAAGGCAAACTCAAACACAGAGATTACTTCTTCCACTGCACACCCCATCAGCGAGTGCCAAAGATTTCCTTATTTATCATTCTCTGCTCAATCTCCACTGTCAAATCTAACCCTTTCGGATAACTGAGAACAGAGAAGCAGACATGCTCTCTACTGCCTTGGAAAGCAAAACACACCCCTGTTGTCAGGCTGTTACAGACTGCAACAACAAAAGGGGAAAGAAAAAACAGGAAAGAAAAAAAGGGATTTCCTTCCAAGGAAATCACCATGCTGCCCATCTTAACACAGGGTCAGACACCAGGAGAGTAGGAGCCAGCTTTAATTTAGTTCCATTTGTGGTACATAGACTGCCTGATGTTTCAGACTGCTCAGACACTGCAGGGGCATAGACAGTGTGAAACTGACAAAGAATTTAAACCTTACACAGCATGTGAATGAAACCTTTCGCTTCAGCTGCTTTTGCACCCTGCACTGCCTGGATTCCATGAGAAAATTATCCCCATGGAGCTCATGACTGCAATGGAAATCACACCTGAGAAGGTATGAAAACGCCAAACCTAAATGTATTTATGAAAACCTACCCAAAGATATATTTATTCACAGAGGCCACTGTCAGAGACTGTTTTTCTTCCCCTGCTCTGTTTCTGTGCCTGATGTGATTCTAACCTGGCTGTGCCTCACAGGTGGCTCTCAGAGCAGGTGAGAAAGGCACAGCCCTCACCTGCTGCCCAGGTGAGGCTGCAGCTGCAGTCACCTGTGGCTGCCCCTCCTGCAGTGCAGAAGCCCCTGCAAAGGAACATGGAAAAGGGTCAGGAGGAGGGCTGGGAGCTGCCTCTGCCCCCATTTTCTGTGATCTAAGAGCAATTTTTGGCTAAATACTGAGATGCAAACCCCATCCTTCTCCCATTTGCTGTTTGAGGAGACACAACTGCTCTGGAGTTTCTTTGAATGAGGTGCAAAGAGAGAAGCAAAGCTCTGGAGAAGAAGACAGCATTTTCTAGCAGCAGCTATACCTTCAAGAGACCACGGGAATATCTCTTCCACGCCTGAACCCTGGAAAATAACAAAACATTTCACGTTCACTTCAGGCCTTTCTGAAGACTTTTTTCTTCCCACAGGCACTTTGCTGATCATGTTTAAGAGTAACATGCTTTTCCTGGGGTCCTAGGGCTGCATGTGCCTGGTGAGTGGGAACAGCTGGGGACTGGGGATCCGGGGAAGGGGAGGAACGCACACCCCAGCACCGGCGGCGGAGCGGGTCGGGCACACGCAGAGCCTGCTCCGGAACTCCAGGGCCGCCGGGACCGGGGCTGCTCCCGGAGGGGCCCGGGACACACCGCAGCCGGAGGCTGGGCCAGGATCACGGACACCGGGGCCAAACGCGGTTGCGCTGCAGCCGCCACGGGCCGGGGGGAAACCGGGCCGGGGGGAACCGGGCCGGGGCCTCGGGGAGTGGGGCCCGCCGTGCAGGGAGGGGTGGCGGTCGGGCTGTGAGGTGCCGGAACCGGGTGGGGCCGGGTGCCGGTAGTCACGGACGATACTCACTCACTGCCGATACCGGAGCCCAGTCGGTATCAGCACTGGGTACCGGGACGGGCGGGCGGGCGGGAGGACTGACTGACTGAATGACCGACCGACCGACCGACTGACAGACAGACAGACAGACAGACAGGCTGACTGGCTGACCGGCCCACCCACTCCACCCCGGCGGTGGCAGCACTCACGGGCAGCGCTCCCCGGTGCCGCAGTTCCGTGCCGGCCGCGCCGGGACCCGCCGAGCAGGAAGTGGCGGCGGCCTGGCCCCGCCGTCCGGCCACGTGCTTCCGGCCCCGCCCCGCGCCAGGCCCCGCCCCAGCCGGGCCCCGGCCCCGCCCCCAGGGGCCCGGCGGGAACACGGCTTTGGGGAGAATTTAGCGAAAATCGGGTGCGCGGGGATGGGGCTTTCCAGAGCCCCGCGCCCTGCCCGCTGGCACAGTCCTGTGAGACGATCGAGTCTCCGTGTGCGGAGCGGACAGAGCCCGCCCCGACACCGCGGGAAGCGTGACCCGAGAGGAGACGGGCTGGGAAAGGCCTTAAAGGTCATCCAGGCCCTCGCCATGAGGGGGGACAGGAACGGGGACAGGGATAGGGATGGGACAGGGACAGGGATGGGACAGGGACAGCGACAGCAACAGCAGGGGCAGGGGCAGAGCAGGGACAGGGGCAGGTTCAGGAACAGGGGCAGGCGCAGCTGCCACTAGAGCAGTGTCCTCCAAGCCCAGTGTTCAGCCTGGCCTTGGACATTTCCAGGGATGCAGGGGCAGCCCCAGCTGCTCTGGGCACCCTGCCAGGGAGGAATTCCTTCCCAGTGTCCCCTCTAACCCTGCCACTGTCAGCGAGAATCCCTTCCTCTTGCTCTGTCACTCCCACCCCTGTCCAAAGTCCCTCTCCAGGTCTCCTGGAGCCCCTGAGGACGTTGGAAGGGGCCCTAGAGTCTCCCCAGAGCCATGTTTTCTGCAGGGGACATCCCCAGCTCTCAGTCCATCTCTGGAGCAGAGCTGCTGCAGCCCTGAGAGCGACACAGGGCATGTGCCTGAGTGTGCAGGTACGTACACACACCTTACACACACCCTAAGTGCTGCCGTCCGTGCTGCACCAGGCTGCCAGCCTGCCGGCTGTCCCCAGCAGTGCAGGTGTGCTGGGTGAGACACCTGGGTGCAGGTGTGCTGGGTGGCACCCAGCAGGGCCAGCCTCGCTGTCTCCCCAGTGACCTCGCAGGGTCCCAGTGTCCCCACATTCCCTCGGTGGTGCCAGCCCCACACTCCCTCCCCGGTGCCCTTGCTGACCAGCACAGCCTCACAGCTGGTGCAGGCTGCCCTCGCTGTGCTGCCCATTTGTCAGGGACCCTGCCTCCCTGTGGGGGCTGCTCCTGCTCACACACACACAGATCCTCTGAGCGGGGAGCAGCTCCCTGGCAAGCTCTGGGACTGGCACACACAGGGCAGAGAGGAGCCCTCGCCCGTGTCAGCAGACATCCTGTGTAACTCTGCCAAAGGGAGCCGTGCAGGGCTGTGTGTGCTGTGCCTCTGCTTCTGGGAGACAGCAGCTGGGCTGACCTGCAGCATGGGTCAGGCAGAGCCTCCCAGGGACAGGACAGGCACGGGGGGTGAGGGAGAAATGCAAGGAGTTGGGGGAGATTCCAGCTGTGTCTGCTGCGTTGGGGACAGTGCTGTGCTGTTACACAGAGCTGCCTCTCCATGCTGCCCACTGCACTGCGGCCAGCAGGGCTGTCTGTCTGTCTGTGCAGACAGACATGCATGCATGCGCTGCCACATCCCCTGAGCCCAGAGCTTTCATTTTCTGTCTCATTTTCTGTAGGGCTTTCAGACTTTGGGGGTTTCCTTAATGCAGTGCTAGTACGCTATTTTCAGCATTGCTGGCGTGTAATTATGACCTGTGATTTACCTCTGTGAATGCTAGCACGGGCAGGTAGGTGTGGGCTGCAAAACTGCCTCCTGAAAGGCACAATATTGTGTTTCTCTGATCCTCCAGGCTCTAGGTCTGGGAAGGAGTGAACAAATCCCACCCACAAGTAGAAAGGTTTTATCTTCTGGCACAGAGCGAGTGGAACCTGACATAGCTGTGACACCTGGCACTGGCCTCAGGTACAGATTTGCTCTGATCTTATCATGGCACCTTTCAAAACAAAAAAGCTTTTAATGCTTCTGAAGGTCATGAAGCCTACTCAAATGTATCAGGTAATTAATTGCTGTAAAATATGTGCTGTTAAGACGATTAAAAGATGAGTTGGAACTGCAGAATGTTATGCAACTGTCAGGACCCTGATGATACCCCCTGGAACCTGGGCTGTGTGTGACCTCAGTTTCCCAGATTCCTGACCCTGACCCCTCTCTGCAGGCTGCCATCCTGCCGTGGCCTTGGCTTGTCCCCATCCCCAGGCAGGTGCCTGATGCTGGGGCTGGGATTGCCCTCTCCTGGCTGGAGTGGTGGACTGGGCAGTTACCACCGGGCTCTGCCCCACCAGCCCCCACTGCACAGCTACTGAAATGGTGTAAAACCATGAAATGGTGTAAAACTCACCTTTGGAGGAAGGCGTAATGGTGAAATCGTGTAAGACCATGAAATGGTGTAAAACCATGAAATGGTGTAAAACACACCTTTGGAGGAAGGTGTAATGGTGAAATCGTGTAAGACCATGAAATGGTGTAAAACACACCTTTGGAGGAAGGTGTAATGGTGAAATTGTGTAAAACCATGAAATGGTGTAAAACCCTGAAATAGTGTAAAACACACTTTTGGAGAAAGATGTAAGGATGAAATCGTGTAAAACCATGAAATGGTGTAAAACACACCTTTGGAGAAGAGTGTAATGGTGAAATGGTGTAAAACACACTTTTGGAGAAAGATGTAAGGATGAAATCGTGTAAAACCATGAAATGGTGTAAAACACACCTTTGGAGAAGAGTGTAATGGTGAAATGGTGTAAAACCATGAAATGATGTAAAACACACCTTTGGAGAAGGGTGTAATGGTGAAATGGTGTAAAACTCACTTTTGGAGAAACATACCTGCAGGTCAGGTACGTTTCCCCAGAGCATATTTATAGTAACTGCAGGAGAAAAATTAGAGCATTTGTATTTAGCACTGACTACGGTGGTATTTTTTGCTTGCAACAACGCTTTCCTGCTGGATTTTCCCCCGAAAGGAAGTTCTTTTGGGTGGCATCATAGCAAAACGTCAGCAACTGCCTCTGAGCCATCCATTGCCAGTCACCTGTCCCAAGGGACTGTGTCCCCCAGGGCCACCACAGCTCAGGGGACATCTTTCACCCTGGGTGGCAGTGCCACCGCTCCGGTCTGGCCTTGCTGCAGGGCACTTGGCTGCTGCAGAGGAGCAGACAGAGGTGCCTGCATTCAGTCCAACTCAGGAGTGACCCTCAGGGCCTGGCGCTTTCAGCCTTGCACCCCTTCGTCTGTCAAGGCAGCTGGGTCGGGCTGCTGCAGCCTTTGCTTCTGAGCACTGTTTCGTGGTAGGAGTGACAAACGTCACCTGCTGCACGCCTGAGCCCAACCCAGACTGTCCCCGTGCTCCCCTGAACGTGCTGCCCTTGGTGAGATTCACCCAGGGCGGAGAGAAGCTTGGCACAGGGCCTGAGGCCGGGGTGTTCACGCGTGGCCGGGAGACGAGGCGGTGCCGCTGCCTGGCACCCCGCTGGAAGTGCTGAGCGTCCCCTCTTGCCCAGAGCTCCCCGCTTTCTGAGCCGTGCAGGGTGGCGGAGGCAGCTCCCGGGCCGCAAGGCTGCAGGGGCAGTGGGCTTCGGAGCAGCTTTCTCTGCCTGCCAGCCCGTGCTGGGGGCTGCAGGTCCCGTCCCGGCTGCGCGGCTGCGGCAGCGGCGCCCCCGCACCCGGCTGGGGACAGCCAGGGGCCGGCCGGGGGGTTCTGAGCGCTGGATGTGCTCGGAGCCGCAGGAGCCCTGTCAGCGCGGGGAGAGGAGCACCCATCCTCACGGGGCCCTTGCCCGTGCCCTGCCGCGAGCAGCGCGCCTGGCCGCGCAAACCCCGCAGCAGGGAGCGGGCCGTGCTGCACCGTGCCTGCTGCAGCAGCCTCAACGCCCGGGGACAGAGCTGCGTCTCCTGCAGCCCTCCAGAGTGCAGAGACGGGTGGAGACCGCCGTTCTTTCCACCGAAACCTGTGCGTGCCCAAAAAAGGAAAAGGAAGAAGAGGGGCATTTCCCCGGGGTGTAACCTGTCGCTCGCGGTCCAGGTGCCGGCAGGTGGCACCCCAGAATGCGCGGCCTTACTGCGAGCCTGATGCTGCTCCCCGCAGCATCTTCAGCCCCTGCTCGGCTCCCAGGGGATCCTCGGTGGCTCTGAGCTGGGGCCAACAGCCATCAGAAAGGACCCCGAAATTGTATTTTCGATTTGATGCTTTCCAAAGTGTTTTTCTAAATGCTGAGGAAGACAGCATGAAAGTTCTGAGGGTAACAGCGCAAAAAGCACCCAGAATATGCCTCGGAGGTATTAAACATGAATAAAGTGTCTGTGTCAGGGTGCTGGCTCCTGCTCCTCTGACTTTGCTAGACACCAACCCTACGAGATGAAAAGGCTTATGAGAGATATAGCTTCACCTGGAATTCCTAGGGGAGTTCACAAATGGAAGGTGATGCCCTGTCCAGGGGGGTTGCTGAGGAAAATCTCAGGGCACTTGGCCATGGTGGAAACGTTGGGTGATGTTTCTTCCACTCTGGAGGAACATGAAGACATGATTGAAATTTGTAGGCATGCAAGGAGGTTAATTAACTCCTTTTGGGCAACAAATAGTCTTTTTCAGAGCCTAATTTTGCAGTCTTGTCAAACACACTTTTTACCTGGACTTGTTGAATCGAGTGGGCTGTGCTTGCTTCTGGCCACCTGTGCCCAGGGGAGTTGTCTTTGACTTGCATAGACTATTTCCTGACAGTCATATTGTTTTCATCTGGAAGCTGCAACTGATGGGTGTTTTTGTGTTGTGTGTCTGGGCATGTGAACTCCCTTTTCATCTGTCCTGATCCAGTAAAAGAAGTGAGCTTTGAGGTGATGAACCTCTCATCCTCCTTGAAGATCAAACATGGACCTGCCCCACTCTGCCAGGCAGGAGCAGGCAGGATTCTCTGCACTGGCCTCATACGGAACCAATACTGGGAGGTGGCAGGTGCAGGAGGGCTGAAACAGTTCAGGCAATGCTGGGCAAGAAGGCAGGGAGAGGCAGGG